TCTTCTTCTCCGTTCGTCAAAATAGATCCAATCCTTGTCCACCTTAAATTTTATCACTAACCTTGTATGCATTGCGAGTTTGGCAGCAATCGCTTCATTGTATTTCGCTGTACGATGATGATGGTGATGATGATGACCACTCCCCGGTCGTCCTCATTGCGCGCGTAAATCTTCACCATATCAGACTCTTTCCCATAGAATAATTAGTTTGGTCCACATTACCTCTAAACTTCCTACTCCGCGGATTGTCTGCCGCACGTGAACAGTGCACACGTGAGAATGAGGCTGTTTTTCAATCTGGTTGAGGTTGTATAGACCATCGTTCGCCAAATTCTGGAGCACCGATATTCTTTTCGTAGACCCACCATCTCTGTCTTCCTCGACCTGAAAGCGGTGTTTGACACAATCGATCGCTCTAAATTCTGGCGCTGCGTTTTCCTGAATAGTGTGCTCGAACATTTTATTTCAATATTACAATCCTATTATCCTGGTTATTTCCTCACATTTTTTATTCTTCCATTTACTCTTTTAATCATCATGGTTAAAACTAATGGATGATTGAAAGAAAGCAACGCCAACTGGTCTACAAAAAAAGAAACTAAAGATGAAACCGTTGCAAACAAATAGCCAACTTGATCGACGAGCAGGCGAAATGAAATTCAGTTCACCACTTTCATTTTCGGTTGATACAACTATGCAATCGTGCGCAATCGTGTGTCGCTCTTTCTTTGGCTGTCGATTTGGATGAAGCAGTTGGAGAAAGACGGGGAAGTTGAAAGTAGAGTCGAAGAGAACAGAGAGAGAGAGAGAGTTCAGCGAACTAAGGTAGCAAGGAAATAGAGAAGATGCAGAGGTGCCGTTGTTTACGGCACTGAACCATTCCACTAAACGTCTATAACCATCAGTTACGATCATTCCGAGGTCCCCATCCAGGGAGCTTAACGGGGCCTATGTGACCTAGTCTCCTGGTTAGGACTGTGTGCCTCCATGACCCTACAAGCTACACAGGATGGCATGCGTAACACATGCCCCAACAAACGTAATCTATGGCCTTCAACCATTTGCTCTAATGGGCAATCGCGGTTATCTAAAACTCNCTGCGCCTAAACTCAGAGTTGTTCGTTCGGCTGCTGCACCAGATTTTGTGCAATGCTGCGTTGTTCAGCGTTGTTCAAACACCGACAGTCTGTCTTTATCCTGTTTTCTTGATGGCCTCGTTTCTGCACCGTATAGCACAATTGGCCGAACTGCCACCGGCATACACATGAGAATCGATTATCCATAGTTTTTCAACAAATCGAATCAGATCTGTTCAGAAATGGGTCCAATCCATGATGGTTGCCGTTCATTACGGAAAATGTGTTTAATAAAAATTGAATAGAGAATTTTTTCACAGCAAATTTTGAGGAGACAGAGAAACGAAGGGAGTTCAACCAAAAGGAGTTTATGGGTTCGAGGAAACCGGGATAATAATAATAATAATAATAATAATAATAATCGTTGTCAATGGCAAGTTTTTAAAACTCCTCATCATTCATGGGGTTCGTGTGATGATTTGTGATGCTTGACCATTACCAATGCAATTTGCTGTAGTCAATCTTGTTATTCGCAATTTCGATCGATAAGTCGAACCGGGAGAAATGCTGTTCCTCGATCAGCGGTGGTTGCCGAAAACACGTGCCAGATAGAACGACTAGAACTCTGAAACTGATTGTGCCCTTCTAGTCATGCAAATATCGCTTATCGTATAGTTTGCAAAAAAGTATACTGAACACAAAATCCATGTTCAATCATATCATTGATTCATACATAAATTCCCCAAGTCAATTCCCGCTTAGTTGGAAATGTGCAATGTAGAGATATGTCCTACGGGGTATAAGTTTAAGAGTTTAAGCTTCAAAGTAACCCAATATTATATCTGTTTGTGAAGTAGTAATTCAGGAACTCTCCCTTACTGTTTGTCAAATTTAGGGAACTATTGTGGAAACGCTGGTCACACGTCTGAATCGTGTGAGTGAGAAGTTGCGCGCGCAGATGGAACAGTGCAACGAGCTCGAAGCCCTGTTGGCCGAGCGTGACGCGCGCCTAGTTGCCCAGAACAGTGAACTGGCCGAAGCGGAAGCCCATCTGGCCGCATCCACCGAAACAGTGGCTTCGTTGCATAAAAAAATTTTAGCTGGCAGTCGTAACTGGACTCAATTGTTAGAAAATATCCAGCATCGAACCGGGTCGTCCTCCGACCCATCATCCCTGCGCGTCGGACCAGACCAACTTCCCGCACTGCCGGCTGTGCTTGATCTGGTACGCAGCTTGGATGCCGCGTATGCCGAATTACAGGAATCCGAACGGTGTCGTATCTTGGCCGAACAACGTGCAACTAGTGCTCTGAACACCGCTCGACGTCTCCGGGGTCAGCTTCGTGACAACCTCATCCAGCCGTTGGATTCGGGAATGTTTGCACCTGATCTGACTGACCTTTGTTATGTGACACCACAGCTGGACAAAAGCTCACAGACAGAGGAAGTTACTCCACCCAGTCTTCTGTCCAAGAATACCCCGGAACGGGTTCTGTGTGATGTGGCTGTGCAACACTCGGATTCTGCAACGGAAAAAGGACCTACGTTACAAGATGAAGTGAGACTCTCTTTGGTACTTTATTATTATTATTTTTTGTGTGATTTAGTTTGAGTAGCCATTGGAAAGTTTTCTATTCATCTTATTTCTATCAAGCATCAGTAGTCTTAGAATAACACTGAGTAGTTTTAGTGGCGCAAAGCCCTATTGTATCTGGATTTTCTATTTTTTTCCCGGGAGCCTAATTTAGTTTACCATACTCTCGTAATGCGATGAAATCATACCACCATGGGCTGTACTAAGACTGTAAAATATATGCTCATCATTGGAACTCCGTGTGCTATAATGGTATTCGGCTAGATCATGTATACTAATAGCTCAAATTGCCATACCATCCAAGTCAAATGACATTAAAAAAAATATTACACCAATGTGTGATGAGCAACGGACTGGGATAGCCCTATAGGCACAAAGACCTTTTGTTCAGTGATGATGGAAACTGGCAACCTAAGCCCCTCGGGACATGGAGTGGCGAACCACATAAGGCCCCGTTGCTAGGTTAGACGTGGTTTGGAACCGGACGACAGCAAAGTTGGGTGGCGATGGTGGTGACGGGGCTCGAAACTCGGACCACAGGGTCCGAAACACACCGGTGACAACCAATAAGCCACCACGCTACCACATGCCGCGAGTTGTAGGTTCTCGGTTCGAACTCCTATGGTAAAACGGAACGACAACAGTTGGTAGGACGGTGAAAAAAGCGGTACTAGGTTACTCAACCTGGTGTTTCGCATCTTGCTCTATCACCATTTCACCCGTTTTAGGTCTATGGACACAATCATTCGATCTCGGCAATCTGTGTGTGGGACTTTAATTGTACACAAATCCTAAACGAGCGAGGCTTAAGCAACGAGATGAAAATCGATGCCCAGTTTTGTCGTACAATTTTTATTTACCTTCCCGTTGGTTATTTAGAAATCTGTGCTATTCGACAAACCATCACGACGAGACTGCACTTTGACATGGAGTGATGGCTTGTGCACCTCCCTGACCAAACGAGCTACACAGGATGGCTTTTGTCAAGCCAGGAGATCTAATCATGCCTGGAAGGTTAGTGGGTAGAGGTCAGACAAAGTTCAATCCCCTGGTCCTCCAGATTGGGGGTTCGACTTGAGTCGGCATCTCAGTCGGTGACATGTGTTGGAGGAGCAATTGGTCCAAGGAAATGGGCCTCCAATTCGCTTCATCCACTGCCTTGCGGCTGAATTCTTGTCAGAACTAAAGGCTTTGGACGAGAACTCTAATCGTTCTCCCGCTTAGTGGCTGGACACCCTAGCAGTACCCGTCCATCAAACCCCAATGCATATGCATTGCGAGTTTGGCAGCGATCAGTCGAGTTCGCTTCCCTGTATTTCGCTGTACGATAATGATGCTGATGATTGAGGGACTTCATTTATGTATGAATCGCGTGAATAACGACGAGGTGGTCAGCCCAGGTGTGTAAGGGTCAGATAATCTTCCACTGAGCAAAACCAAAAAACCAAAACCATTTCACTACATCGTCTTAGGTGACTGGGGTATGCCTTACGAATGTCTGAATAACATCTGTTATACCACGCGCTATTTGCTGACATTTGTTCGGGCTGGAAG